GTGCAAGAGTAGGCCTTCGCAGCCTCGGGCGGCGGCCTGGATCCCTCCCTCACAGCCACGGTGGCTTCTTCGATCCCGAGACTGCAGCCCCGGCTTTGTCCAGAAGGACATCTTGTCTAATTAGCATATTAGGCTTTTATTATTATAGATAAGGTATTTTTGCTGCCCTAAAAACCTTTCGTTCTCTGCCTATTCATTTTCCCCCTCCCCTAGTCCCCCACCCTCTGGCAGATCTTTTTACTGTCTCCATTGTTTTGTCTTTTCCAGAAGGTCATATTGATGAAATAATATAGTATATAGCCTTTTCAGATTGGCTTCTTTCATTTAATTATATCCACTTGAGGTTTCTTCATGTCTTTTCACAGTGTCATACTCCATTTCTTTTTTTCACTGAATAATACTCTATTGTCTGGATGTGTCACAGTTTATTTATTCATTCACCCACTGAAGGACATGTTAGTTGTTTGCAGGTATTGGTGACTGAATAAAGCTGCTACCAACATCCACGTAAATGTTTCCATTTTGTAAACATGTGAAAATAAACTAAGTATAAGGCATGGTGCACTTGATATGGATTATTCACATTTAGTCTTTAAAACAATCCTATGAGGCAGGTGTTAACATTAGCCCATAGTAGAGATAAAGAAACTAATTAGAGGCTAATTTGCTGTGAGCCACAGAGCGAAATTGTTGGAGCCAGGATTCAAACCCATTTATGTCTGACTCTAAAGCTTCTCTCTTGCAAACTGTGATGTACCCTCTCTGTTTTCCATTTTAAACTTATGCCATATAACAACAACTATCAGCATCATGATTATGGCATGAAATACAGACTATGAATTGAAATAATATCCAACTACTAAGGATCTCAAAATCTGAGCAAAACCTGTAAGTTCAACATTCAGCTCTTAGAAGCAGAAACTTCATTGGCGAGAAGTTATTTCTGACTTTTCTGGAACTAATAAGGAGGCCAATGAAAAACAATCATTTCTCATTTTAGAGAGCCATTCATTTAACAAGTATTTCTAGAACCCCTGCTATGTACAAGGTACTGTGATAGATACAACAAATGGTGTGAGTAAAACAAACAGGGCCTCTGCCCTCACAGAGAAAGTCCAGAGGAGGAAACAGAAAAGTAATCAGGCAACACACAGAGAATGACTGGGGAGTGAGAACGGGGCTGGAGATGGCGCAAAAAGTGGATTCCTCTGCAGGCAGTGTGAGCTACAGGTGAAATTACGATGCATGGGAGAGAATGTGGCATGTTCTGGGAACAACAATATGGAACTGCCAATAGAAGACCTAACTCAGTGGATCCTCACTGGATGAGGCCCAGAAATCAGGATTTTAAAAAGATTCCCAGGTGATTCTAATGTTCAGCCAAGGTTGAGAACCACTGAGTTAGGTCTTCTATTGGCAGTTCCATCTTGTTGTTCCCAGAACATGCCACATTCTCTCCTGTGCATCATAATTTCACCTGTAGCTCACACTGCCTGCAGAGGAATCCACTTTTTTCACCATCTCCAGCCCCGTTCTCACTTCCCAGTCATTCTCTGTGTGTTGCCTGATTACTTTTCTAACTGGATTTGAATTTTTACAGGCAGGGAAATGCCCTTATATGTTTTGTGTTTTTTTTAGAAAGATCTGTCTAACAATAGGGATGAAAATGGATTTGAGCCCTAACGGATTTGGCTCAGTGGCCAGAGTGTCAGCCTGCCGGACTCAAGGGTCCCAGGTTGGATTCCGGTCAAGGGCATGTACCTTGGTTGTGGGAACATACCCAGTAGGGAGTGTGCAGGAGGCAGTTGATCGAAGTTTCTTTCATCGATATTTCTAACTCTCTATCCCTCTCCCTTCTTCTCCGTAAAAAAATCAATAAAATATATATTTTAAAAAATGGATCTGCCGAAACCGGTTTGGCTCAGTGGATAGAGCATCGGCCTGTGGACTGAAAGGTCCCAGGTTCGATTCCGGTCAAGGGCATGTACCTGGGTTGCGAGCACATCCCCAGTAGGAGATGTGCAGGAGGCAGCTGATCGATGTTTCTCTCTCATCGATGTTTCTGACTCTCTATCTCTCTCCCTTCCTCTCTGTAAAAAAATCAATAAAATATTAAAAAAAAAAAAACGGATCTGACAGGGCCAGATTGGAATCAGAGGAGTTGGATGGGTGTTGAATTTAAGCAAGGAATTGGTGGAAAATGCAAGACAGGGAGAATGGAGATGGTGCTGTGGGAATCCACTCAGCAGCTAGGAAGAAGGTACAGCCTTGGCAATTGCTGGCAATGCAGAAGAGATGGTAGTGTCAAAGATGTTGCCCAGAAGGTGGTTTTGGTAACTGAATAGGTGGTGCCCAAGACAGGGAACCCAAGGGTGAGGCAGTCTGGTGGGAGTGGGGGGAAATGGGACTTAGGGGTGCACAGGTGTGGAGTTAACTGGCAGTTGGATTCGGGGGTCTGACGCTCAGTGAGGCATACTAGGCTGGAGGTGAAAGCTTTCCAGTTATCAGCAGACCTCTGGGCCTGAGGCATGGAGGTGGACAGGCTCACCCACGTGGAGCAGCATCATATCAGGGGAACGTATAAAAAGCACGCGCCATAAGGGTTTTATGCCTGAGTCTCCAGAGACGTGGGGGGCAGAATGGAAGAGGCACGCTCAGGCTCCCTGTAACCAGAATAATTACTTCCTGGAGCAAACACCGTGGGTGGCACTTTCCCACCATCCATCCGCCCATCACCAACCCATCGTCTATGAGGACGGCTCACAGGGACTCCCCCGCCCACAAGGGCGCGCACTGGCAGCCCCGGCCTCAGGTCGCCTCCCGAGGCTTCGGGGATGCTCCACCAGGACCAGTGGGCACCTCCCTGGAGACGCTACTCAAACCGCGCGCGGGCCCAGGGGGACGCCCGCTCCTGCCCGACTCACCGCGCTGGAGGGAGGTCCCTCCTTCTGCCAATCTCTAAATGGTCCTTCTCATCCTTTCTGCGGCTGTCACCGCTGCTCCGGATAGGAGGGCCGGCCCGCCCTCCCCCAGCCCACTCCCGGCCCCTGGAACTTCGGGGGCGCCAATACCAGCGGCACCGTTGGTTTTTTCAATCAAATCCTCCTCTAGCCCACCAACCGGCGCCGGCTGAGCCAATGCCAACACTCCTTCTTCTGCCTCGCCGGGGCGCCACAGCCAATCAGGAACAGCAGTGCTGTCGCGTGCCCAGCGCCAGAGCCACAGGTGACGCTGCCTCAGTGTTGCCGTAGCAACCAAAGAACGCGCAGGATCCGGCCCCAAGTCTGCAAGCTGAGGTGGTGCTGCAGACACTTTACTCCGCTCTAGAGCTGCTCACCTGTGCATAGGTTTCCTAAACACTGTGGATTTTTCTAGACTTGGTGTTCCCAACCTTTAGCATTTGAAATGAAATGGGTGTGAAAGAGCTTCACCTTAGGGTGTTTCAAGAATTGCTATGGCTAGTACTGGGGAGGATGTGGAGAAAAGGGAATCCTAGTGCACTGCTGGTGGGAACGCGGACTGGTGCAGCCATTATGGAAAACAGTATGGAGTTTCCTCAAAATTTTAAATCTGGAACTGCCATTTGATTCAGTGATCCCACTTCTAGGAATATAGCCTAAGAAACCCAAAACACCAATCAGAAAGAATCTATGCACTCCTATGTTCATAGCAGCGCAATTTATACTAGCTAAGATCTGGAAACAGCCCAAGTGCCCATCAGTAGATAAGTGGATAAAAAAAAAAGCTGTGGTACATTTACACCATAGAACACTATGCAGCAGTAAAAAAGGACCTCTTACCCTTTAAGAGAGCATGGAGTAACCTGGAGAATATTATGCTAAGTGAAACAAGCCCGTCAGAGAAAGACAAGTATCACATGATCTCACTCATATGTGAAATCTAATGAACAAAATAGATTCAGAGACATATAAGTATGGAACAGGCTATGGAATCTGAGGGAAGGTGGGGGTGGGTGTGTGGGTGGGAAGAGATCAACCAAAGAACTTGTATGCATATATGTATAACCCATGGACATAGACAATAGTGTGGTGAAGGCCTGGGGTCGGGGGCGAGGGCAGGCTAGAAGGGGTCAATGGGGGGGGGGGGGCATATGTAACACTTTCAACATTTTGAAAAAAAAAGATTGCTATGGACTAAAATTCAATCATCATCCAAAGCAAAGATTGTTTTAAAATGATCACTGCTACATGCTAAATACCTTTCTTGTAGCATGAAAACCCTGCTACTCAAGTGCATTGCATGCTTCAAGCTATGAGAATATGGTGGTGTGAAAAAACAGAGTGATCTGTGATTCAAGCTATCTGTAAGGTAAACCTATTACTAATTTGTTTTGTAGCTTCGGGCAAGTCTCACCTTTTGTGAAGGTCTGAAGATGCGTTTTAATTGCATTAGATAAAGCTTTGAAAAGATAGTTCACATTATGGAGCTTAAAAAAAAAAGGAATATATTGAAGTAGGTTCCACCCTGCTTCTATCACTGACTAGCTCTTCCATGTTGGGCAACTTGGGAAATTTCTTATGTCTTCATTTTACAACTCAACTGGCATGAAAAATAATGACTACCAGATGATGATGTGAAGTGTAAACAAAATGAGAGTTTTGAGAATTGGGTGCTCATTGCCTGGCACACAATGAGCACCCAATATTAACATAGTCATTACATATGTAATGTGATGTGTGCTCATTACACATCACATTGCAAATTCTACCCTAAATAGAGGTCTTAAAATAGGAAAAATAATAGATCAGCCTACCTTACAGGGCTTTAATTCCTCAGCTATCAAAAAAGTAATTATGAATACACACTTTTTTTCATCTTCTTTTATCACAGTTTTCTCTTTTCTCTCTCTTACTAAAGCATGTGAGTATCAGGAGGTAAGAAACAGAAATCACTTCCATTTCTTTATCCTCTATCCCTCCGCATGAGCATGATATGCAGCTCTTCTAAAAATCAAAGTACAAAATAAAGACTATCCAACAACTAATTCAGTAGACTTTTATTGCTCTTTCAACTTCAATAACATCTCCAAAAAATAGTTTTCTTCTAACAATTATAAAACAAATTTAAAAGGCAGGGTCATTCACATTAGACTTGGTAGAGACTTGTACTTCATATAAATGAAAAATATCAGTTCTACGTTTTAAATGTTTAATTTACTTTGGATTTTATTACAAAAGAAAATATCACTGTAATTATAAAAGTCATAAAAATTAGAACTGTACTGTGAAATTATACCAAGCTATCAAATATTACATAAATGAACAATAAAATTCAATTTCTACTTATTTAAACATAGTAAACATTGGAAGATAACCCCCTCTACAGAAAAAATCAAAACAAAACAAAAACTTTCAATATTAAAGCAACAAAAGAAAAGCCAAAACACAAAAACCAACCAATGCACAAAAATATGATTTAAAAAACAACTGGGGTTCAACAATTATTCTAAGTCAACTATAGAAGTCAATATGTGCTGATAAATTAAATTTTTAAAATGATCTCTAGATGATTCCATTTCCAAATATGTTTTCCTATTGATACTTATATTTTTGAAAAGTTAAAAAACAATCAACTTTACATTAAATTGCCAAATTTTTCATCTGAACACTATTTTAAATTTTGAATGTCCTTAAAGTCTTTAAGTTTACTTTCTAAAAAATAAATAATTGTCGGACTAAACCAAAAGACATTTCACATATTTGTACTGCATATAACAACAATGTGATCTACATAAATAAATTTAAAACATTAAATTAAACTTTTAATTAAAATGTTGTATCAATGGCTGACGTATCTGAAATCTGAGCACTTTAAAACAGGATTCACATGTAAAATTCTTGAGCACATTCACAGAACTGATGTACATGATATAATCCTGACAAGACAGCAAGCTCTGATGTCATACCTCAGTTTCAGAAACCATTTTCTCTTTGTACAGAATTTTGAACCTGTCTTTGTAAAAGGAAAAAGAAAGCTATTATATACATACAATAAATTTTAAGTATGTGAAGAAAAAAGAAGAAATGTTTTTGGATGAAAAAAACAAAAATTAATCTTGAGTGGTAAAGAAATCTGCTTTATAAATACACACATTAGGACATTAAAAAAATTTGTCCTACATGTTTTACAGAAGACTTGGCAAATGTGAACGTTGAAACGCCACAGCTTTGTTAAACAACTTGAGAGATTTAAGATTTGATAAACCACTTACACACACACACACACACACACGCACGCACACACACACACACACACGCACACAAACACCATTAGAAAGATTGTGTGCTTCACTCGGCATACCTAATATTATTAGAGAATATACAGAATCATCCTTTTGTCATAATGAAATTAGTTCACTGTTTTCTCAAAAGCTGCTATTTTAGAATGAAGCAGCATTCAAAAAAAGGAAATTTCAGATGGTCAGCATCAGGATTCATTATAGTCTTTGTAAGCAGTGTCTATAAATAAATAAAATAGGGTGGAGAGAAGAATATCCTGAGGTGGCTCTGGGGCCAGGGTATTCAGTAGCACTAAGCTCCATCCTGGAAACCAAGGCATCTAAGAAAGTGCAGAGCTGTGTCTGTGAACTTATTTCGTAAATGGAATATGTACAGGTTGAATTATTTTGCACCTTGAGGTAAATCAGTACATAGCAATTACTACTGCTCATTTCCACCTATTTAAGGCAACATTTAAGAATCAATATATGTAGTAAATTATATTTTTCACTCTCTGGCAATGAATGCTATCCATGATTGTTATTTTTCAAAAATAGTGGAATAATATAACCATATAAAACAAGCAGTTAATTACTTAAACTTGAGTTACCTTTGCTCTTCAATGGAGTAGTCATATCAAATCATTTTATAAGTCAAGTAGTCAAAAGAAAGCAGAAACCATTATCAAATTTGAAACATACTAAAAATATTTTGAGTGCAAAGTATTTTGCAAGTCATGGTTTTTCTGGCACTGGACAATCACTATACATAATTAAATAAAATCACAGAAACACTATGATCCCAGGTAGTTTTCAGTTTAAATTTTAAAATTACATCTTATAAAATAACGCACATTTGTTAACCCTATGATGTCCAGACATAAGGAAATTATGTGAGGAAATTCTCCTATTCATGTACATCAGGGGAGTTTACAAAATACAGCAGCAAATACTGGGGGTCTTTGGAAATGATGATGCTGCTATGAACAAAAAGGAATCACTTCAATGGAAGCGCAAGAACAATAACAAGCACCGTGGGTAATAAATACTCTATTATCAACTGTCAATAGAGTAGAACTCTTTTTTAGGCAGTACCAAATGATGCCAGCTATATTTTCTACTTAAAAGTGGCTACATTTGCAACCTCCCATCTGAGGCATAAGCTAAATCTGTTATTTTAACTAGATCTGATAATACAGTCTCAGGCGGGTAAATTACATTAGTTATTAAGTATTTTAGAATAAATTTTAAAAGCATTCCGAATTGCTAAAATATCAGTTTTGGGCATTTCTCATGATCCTCTATATAAGATCATTCTTCATACTTTTGTACTTTAATTAGAAATGATTAAAGGGAGCATTGTAATTTCACTAATATTTTCATCCTACTGTTCATGTCACTATTTTAAATATTTCTGGGGCTTCTCAATATTCATTTAGCTGTCATTAAACTATCCTCTTGCCAAATTAGTTTCACAACCCCATTCATCCAGTCCTACAGGCTTAACAAGAACATTTATTTATTTCATGTGGAGCTAAGAGTAGAAAAAAGATGACTAAAAAGATTTGCTAGAAGTTAAAAGACAGCTCAGAAGATCAAAAATTAAGTAACAAATACTAACACAAAACAGAAAGAATGCCATCAATCTGAGCTATACATAAAATTTCCAAATTCCTTTTAAAATACAAATATGGCAGTGCTTTATATAAAGATGTAAAATCTGTCAACTGCTTTCAGATAAGAAACTGTAAATGCAATCAGCACCAACTATTTACATTAACAATTTACTCTATATTTGTTACCTTTTCAAATGTTTGTATATAATACATAAGCATCATATCAATTAAAATAAATAAAATATTTAAAAATGAAATCACATATAACAATCTATTAAATATTATCTATACAATAGAAAGAACAATGTAAACAGAAAATGAAAGGTAAATCCTACTAGAATAAAGTAATACTGATCATAAACCCATTTAAGAGAATTCTGACTCCTGATTATTTCATCGTACTACTTATAATAGAAAAATAATCAAAACCTTGAACCTGATACAAACTAAACAACACTTAAGTAAAAGACAGCAAAGGCAGAGAATAGAGTGAGCATTCTGGGCTCTAATAAAGTATTAGAAATCAGAAAAAAATTTCTACAAAGGCAACAAAATTTAACTACTGTAACTAGCATTTTATAGTTTCTAAAATTCATAAATGTATGACTGGGATGGGAGTTAAATTATAAATCATCTGCAATTTTACTTATCTGAATGAAACCTAGCTATGGAGGTCTTAAAGATTTAAAATAAAATTTTTAAAAAAGGGTCAAAACTAAAGTTCTTATCTAGAAAGTTTCCATTGTTCTACCTCTATAGCGAAAAAATTCCATCGCTTGTGAAACATGATGGGCATCTATATAAATGAAACACACAAAGAGAAGCCATGACATGTTCATATTCTGTCCCACAGCACTGGCATACGATCCCCTGTTCTTCCCATAAAGCACTAACACAAGTGAAATAATGTGTGTAACTCAAGTTAAAATTAGAAATATATGGACAAAGTACACATCACTTAAGATTGGTATGAATTGTCACTGATAAACAAATTTAAATAAATGTACATTGAATGCATTTCCCCACATCTTTCTATTGAACAGAACAATTTTTTTCATCACAATAAATATTTGAATTGTAAGAACCATATACCTCACTTCTAAAAGACTATTTCTTTATATACACAGTCTCCATGGCACCCCTAACAAACTTCAGACACCACTTTTAAAAACCAAGTGGTCACGCATAAATAGCATGACATACAATATTGTTATAGTGACATGAAATACACACATTATATATATATATGTATCTGTATATCTATATATATATATAATTCCTCTTGGTTCAATTCTATAACGAAGTTTCAGCATCCATGTATTTCTTTGTTGGTTCATCTTCAATATTTATTTTCACACTCACAGGTTTTTCAGGGCTATTTAAAACAAAGAATGAGAATAAATGATTTTTAAATAAATAGATATTACATTCTAAATATGGCCAACAATAAGCATTCATAATAAGCCTTTCAGATGGCTATTAGTAATATAAATGTCTTGCTATTATTATTTTACTGCTTTCTTTTCCTATCTGTAAACTTAATTGGAAAGACAAATATTAAAATTCTTAGTTCTTTTAATAGATAACTTCCCCACTGAGATTCATGTTTTTCTTACAGCTGAAGAGGAGCTCTTTAAATTGCTCAGTATATGACTATGTTTGATTTATTACTTTTACTTTATATATGAACAGTGATAGCACTGGACTTTTATTGCACTGACAAATCCATTAAAAATTAATCTTTATTAACATTTGTAAGCATCAAATAGATTTCCTAAAAAAAAAAAATGTAACAAATTTATAAATCTTCTATTCCAAATTTGGTTCACAAATAAAGATCAAAACACATATTCTTATTTTCAAAAGTTAATATAAAATACAATAATTCCATGTATATGGATTTAAGTAAGTGATTTAATTTACTACAGGAATATATCTGGGATCTGAATTACTTTCAAAAGTATAAAAACATACTTATGTTTTGCTGCCTTCTCCAGACAAAACTGAAGCAAGGTACCCCCCCCCAAAAAAAATATTTTTCTGTTGAAACAATATAACCCAAACATTCTCTTTCTTCCTTTTTGATTTTGAATTGAGGGATAATGTAAATGAAAGGCAGAAACATAAAAATACTATAATATTACTGTAAGGTAGACATTTATATACACACACACACATATCATAACTAAAAATCTGGGGCAGGAGTGCTGACGAGGGGTGAAAAATTAAGAGTAAGAGTATTCAGTGAAATTCTGGCTACATGAAATAACCCAAAATGACAGAGTTCAACTTAAAAACGTTTAAGATAAAAGATAGAAGTGAATAAAGAAAATCACCAGTTTAGAAATTAGAGCTCAAGAAATGATAACATTAAAAAAAATGGAGAGATTAAGTAGGAGTAAGTTTCTAAAAGGAGGTAGGGAAAGAATAAAAAAAAAGAAAAAAAGAAAAAAAAAAAACCCTTATCAAGTATCATCAAAAAATAGTGACCAGAAAGACAATAACTAAACAGAAATAGCTATGTGACTGCTTGCCTGGAAAAATTTTAACCTGATGCCCAAACAGAGTATACTGACATCCAATCTAGAGTCTGGTACAAAGTATACACAAAATAAATATTTGTTAAAAATGAATGAGGCCCTAGCAAGTGTGTTCAGTCGTTAGAGCATTGGCCTGCACACTGAATGGTGAAGGGTTTGATTTCAGGGAAGGGCATCTATCTGGGTTGCAGGTTCACTCCCTGCCCGCTCTGGGGGTGCATGCAGGAGGCAACCAGTCAATGTATCTCACATCTCTCTCTCTCTCTTCCCCTCCCCTGCTTCCACTTTCTCTGAAAAAGCAATGGGAAAAAATATCTTCTGAGGGTTAATGAAAATAATAAATAAATAAATAAATAAATAAAAAGTATCCAACAAGATTATACCTCATTTCTCCAGATACCTAAGGGATGAAAGTACTAATGATTATCAAACTGGAATCCCTGAGGTTCAGGCCTTGAAATGAAGAAAAAAGGGTTACATAATAAGAAATATAAGAAAGGGGTTATAAAATGGTTATGTGATATATGGGACATTATAAAACTGAATGGCCTTTATATCCATGGATTAAATTTCTTCCCAAGATCTTCGAAGAAATCCCAGGCTAAAACAAAACAAACAAACAAACAAAAAAATATTTTATGTTTCTTCTTGGACCATCAGAGAGCATGACTGAAAGTTTTCAATCATAGAATTTATTTATCCCTAGTAATTATATTTTATAGGGTTTCTGATCTTTTATATATGTATTTCATACTATCAGAGGTACATATTCATCTTTATTATAAAATAGCTCAAATTTTTTGAAAGAGAAAACAACAAATTTTTAAAAATAAAATAATCAGTATTTTTACCTGATTCCAGTATCCAGAAAAATAATGGATTAATAGATGAAAGGAAAAAGGAAGGAAAAGAAGAAAAAAGTTGGTTTTAGGTAAGGAAAGTATAAATTATGTAAATTAAGTTAAACATAATGGTCTTACTGAACAGCTATCCATAAGCAAATGGAAATTGGCTACAGATAGAAAATGCATAAATAGTTACAGCTACCTCGTGTTAGATCTGGTTACTTTGGCATTCTCAGTATTCATGGAAAGTGCCTTCCACTGTGCAGTTTTGGCCATTTCATCTGATATGTTAACAACTGAGGGATCAACACTGAAGAACAAATACACTTTTTTATTAGTATTCAGTACTTGCAAAAGCATTAATAATGTCATTATTATTACCTATATAATATTTGCTTTCATCAACTTAAAATTAAGAAAACTCTTTGCCATGCACACAAACCAACGTCTAGTAAGATATCAGAATATTGGGAGTTCCATTATAAAGGTCTCACGAGGAAATGCATCTTTCTTTATAGTCAAAACTAGAAGTAAGGCTAATTACATTGGCAATGATGCCCAAAGATAATCATTTTGGCTATAAGTACAATTGAAATAAAATACAAGAATATATTATTGTGTTAATAAATATAAAAATAATACTGCCTCAAGTCAGTTAGAAAACTTATAATTGGCACAAACTTCAATCTCATCAAAATAACTATCCAAAGTAGTTAGGAAAAAATTAAGATTATGCTTTTTTAAAGCTCTTAAAACCATTAAAAGAATGCTGGGAAAGGTGACACTTTAAAACTGAAAACAGAGCTCTGAAAATATTTCAACAGGTAATACAAAAACAGGCTTTTAAGTACTAATTTTTGCTGGCATTCACATTTTTAGTATCAAAGTGTTATATCAAATTAATCAAAATGAAAATCAAAAGATCAAAATACTGTCTCATTATAAAAAACAAATGTCTATTTGAAATACTGTAAAAAGTTACTTCAAAACCCTAAATCCAATAATGATGCTATCCATAAATCATTATGGGCTCAAGGTTGTCAGTCACAAGTAATATCAAAGTACTAGAAACATATGAAGTTAATAAAACATATTTGCAAGCTCTTTTTCTTCAGCAAAAGAAAAACATTTCATGCAAAAAAGCGACAAACACAAATGTCAAGTTAGATGTTAAATTAACAATGTGATGGCAGCTAGGTTATAAATGACCAAATAGCAGTCATTTAGGGGGTGCTAGCTTTGTTCATTCTTTAAATCCGAATATCATTTTAAATCTAAGACTAGAAAAGTGGGACATGATCATTTTAGTCTCTAGAAATGGCTGCTTCATCAGGTCAACTTTTAAAAGTGCACACAATTTGAATGTCCAATTCACAATGGCACAGCCATACCACTTGGAACTCTGCCTGCTCTGAGAAAACGCTTCTTTGCTTGGTTGCCAACATCAAATAACTGAAGAGAATAATTCTTGAAGCACGTTTTAGTTTCCAAATGTCCTCCTTTAAGTCAGGACTTTCCCATTAGTAGATATTAAGACCTTTTTGAAAAAAGGACACATTTTGTTTTCCTCTAAAACTAGATGGGAAAAAGTTTTCTGACATTAAATACATTACTTTCGCATTGCATAGGGCTAAATAGTTTCCAAATGGTGTCATAAATTATCTCGTTGATTTTCATGGCAAGTCATCCAAAGCTAATTAAAATTTTAAATTCTGGCAGATAAACAGGTCAGCCAATTCCTAGCATTCTTGATGTTCAAATTTGAAGCAAAGCAGCATTAATCATGGTTCATGTCATCACTTAAACAATAAAAATGAATATACAGATACCCATTCTTTTTTGTTCAATATCACACAGCTTAAATACAAACTCCAATTCCATTCATCAAGGCCCGTGTATAATCACACTGAGAAAGTGCTAATGCAGAAACAACAGAAATTAAGTAGTAAATAATCTCCCCAGGTTGATGAGTGTCACTAATAACCATGGCAATTCCCTAAACTCTTTTTGGAAGTACAACCAACGAAGTTATTATATTAATTAATTTAACAAACATTTACAGAATCTAGCAAAGCAGAGCTCTAACTAGCTAATCAGAAATGGAATAAATATTTAGAAATAGGAATCAGAAGTGTGCATAAATAATGTAGGTTTTTAATCTTTTTTAAAAAGTTTACATTTTAATCTTTACGAAAAAAGTTTACATTTCCCAACAACTACCTTTAGTTCTTAAATTTAAAATATAAATCACCCAAGTCGCACATGACAAACGAAATATGCAACTTCATTATTTTTCCATAATACGAGCCTTCGCTGCCAGTGGTCAAATCACACCTGTGGACACTAGGAGTTCCCGGGCCTCTGAACAGAGTTGTATATTGGAAGGTTATCAGAAAATGCATTGCAAAGGTTTACTGTCCAGCACACACTGACCCTAGCTGTACTACTGAGAGAATGGGAATATTCAGAGACTTGTGTGTTGACCTTCAACTTCTCTGAAAATGAAAAAGTGCTGAGACAAGGAAATCTTGTCTGCTTGGCCCAGAAATTCAAAGCTCTGGTTCAAGTCCAGCTTCTTCTTCGCTCCTGTCTATAACCTGGGAGGGGAAGGAGCAGGAGAACTGCACAAAGCCCTCCTTTAGCTGATATGCCAGACGAAGGCTTTGTTGCCTTTTTAAAAATAGGTACATTATTTTAAAGAAGCATTACAAAGCGTATTTGTGCAAATGACATGTATATAAAACACATTTTACAAGTACAATTGTATCTCACCTATATTTTAGGGCCTTAACCGGAATCTGCAAGAGACTTCCCCCTTCAAACGGAAGGTGCACAGTGTCATCGTCAGCTTGAAGCATCCGTTCAGCCTCCTTTAGAGCACACAGAGAGATTACTTCTCCCAGATTTCAACTCAACTTCCACGTTACAAGTCAACATATAAAGACTCAAGTTTTATTTTATTTTTTGTCAAAAGATGTTTACTTAAAAGTCCTTTTTGTCATTATATATGCCAGATTGCTAAATCGCTGTAAAAATTAAAGTGTACTGCCCTGACTGGTTTGGCTCAGTGGATAGAGCATCGGCCTGCGGACTGAAAGGTCCCAGGTTCGATTCCGGTCAAGGGCATGTACCTGGGTTGCAGGCACATCCCCAGTAGGAGATGTGCAGGAGGCAGCTGATCGATGTTTCTCTCTCATTGATGTTTCTGACTCTCTATCTCTCTCCCTTCCTCTCTGTAAGAAATCAATAAAATATATTTAAAAAAAAAAAATTAAAGTGTACCACCCAGCCAGTGGGGCTCAATGGTTGAGCATTGACCTATGAACCAGGCTGCAGGCTCCATCCCCAGTAGGGGGCATGCAGGAGGCAGCCAACCAATGATTCTCTCTCATCACTGTTGTTTCTATCTCTTTCTCCTCCTGTCCTCTCTGAAATCAGTAAAAATATATATTTTGTTTTAAATTTACTTCTGTATTTAAAGTTAATTAGATTGTACACTATGATGTAGAATTATTCTGTGTTACCTATGTTTGCATACTGCTAAATTCTTCTGAATGGTTATTAAATACACATATAATATGTAATTTTTTAAAAAAGTATTTTTGTGTCAGGACTATGGATGGGGCAAGTTGGTAAAATGGGTAAAAACCATACTTGGGACATTACCTACTAACTAACCTCTCTCCAAGTTTCCTTACTTGTAAATTGGGAGTAATAAAGTACTTACACTTTATAATGATAAGGTTCTTAGGAGGTCTTAAAGGAGTCCATTCCCATAAAGTGACTGTAATAGTGGCTGCTACTTGGTAAATTTAAAATTCTTGTGTTTTTACCTCTTTCTCTTTTTTCTTTTTGTCGTCTTCCTTCTTTTTCTTACTTTCTGGCATGAGATCATCAAGCCAACTTAGTTCTCTCTTTGTGAAACACAGATCCATGAGCTTACGTACAAAGACTAATGCAAGAACCTTAAAAAGTGGGGAAGAGAATATTAAGTAACATTTAAAAATATATAAATTATATTAATTTATTATACATTACTTTATTATATTACTTTAATTGATTAAACATAAGAAAAAGTACTTTATAAATTTTATTTTAATATGATTTTATGCACCTTTTTCCTTCAAAGGAACTGAGTCCCCTCTTTCTGCTCAAAGAAAAGATGTAAAAGCATTTTTAACCTTTTCTTATTTAAATCCCTTACACTCTGTATAAATTATAAGGCAGTTTAAGCATGGCATCTTCACAGTTTAAAAAATATTATTAACTTTTATGATGACTTTGTACTACATATATTATATAAGTAGAGATAAAATCTTTGAGCAATGCATGAGAGAACCCATTTTTTAGCATTAGGTTCCAATTATATTTGTAAAATATAACTTTCCAATTATATTTGTAAAAAAGATTATGTTTTCACTTAGTCTGCTTTTCTTTAACTGTTAATAAGGTTAAAGATGTTTTTAAATGTTCACTGGCAATTTGGAATCCCTTTTCTGTTTTTACTATTTCCTATCCTTTGCCTGTTTTGCAATTGGTTTTTATGACTTGTTCATAAATTCATAAGAGTTCTGTGTAGTTGGACAGAAACACGTTATCTGCCTTATATGTTACAAATATTTTCTCCAAGTTCACAATCTGATTTTACCCTGGACATATAAAACATTTAATTATCATGTGGTCGAATGTATCTCTTTTTTTTATGACTGGGTTTCCCTATCTTTGAAAAGTTACTCTCAATGACTGAATTATAACAAATATTCTTCAAAAATTTTTACTACAATTTAGCAAGTCCTGAATTCATCAAGTTGTTCTGGTTACTTTGCTTTTTACACCTGGCTATAATACTTATTCCATAAATATCCTAAACTTGTTTAAAAGTTGTTTAAAAATACAAAATGGTGTCTACAGCTCAAAGACTAAAAAACAAACAAAAGTATAGAAAATAAGCAAATTCGGTCTTGAAAATGATTAGTTTAATAGCTAGAAAGGGCTCATTCCTATTTCAAAACACCAAAGGTACTTAAAATGGGTTTATTCTGTTTCTCAAAGTCAATTATAAATATTCATAATTACTATAAAACACAGAGATGTCATTAATTAGTAACAAAGTCTGAAAAAGAAAACTTACCATCATGGGAAAAACTACGGCAGCAGCCGAAGCTTTGATTACCCACAAAAGAACCAGACAGGTAAGCTGAATGACCGTGAAAATGTGGACCTTCCAGAGAGGCACGTAGCGGAGGTATATCAGGTCGGGCTGATGCTTAGCAGGCATGCCAAATAATTTTATACGGTCGAAAAACTACGTGTGGAATGGAAAACAAAACAAGAAAACGTTTTCAACAAAAATATCATTTCTGCTACCTCGGAAAAAAAATTACATTCAACTTCAGGGTTTTGTGATTGAAACCATAACTTCCTTGTTCTGATAGTACAGGAGAAGTTTCGGGACAGAACCTCTGAACCCAGGGGGAGAGATGAGGGAGGGAGGAGTCAGGGCAATGCAATTAATGTAATCCGAAAACTCAAGCCAAAATGCTTTAATTTGGGGGACTGAAATATTTAGATAAATTTGTCTGCTATAATCAAATGCAGGAGTCACTTAATCTTTCAACTTGTTCCTAATGTGTACAACAAAACAGTAACAATGTTATAAGGTTCTAACATGACCAATTCTATGAAAATAACCTCAGGTAACAATTACCAATTTTTCACCCACTGAAAAGGAAACTGAGAGCAAATTCCTTGGTCTTTTTGAGCTTCCATTTCCTCATTTATAAACTTGGAATAAGACCAGCCCTACCTACCCACAAAATTATTGTAAAAAAAAAAAGTGAGTTAATGAGATCATTTCCTGACCAATGGAGAGCAGATACTGGACTGTGTTGAAAAAAATCAAGATGCTGCCTTCCAAAAGTCTTTCCAGCAACTTCAGACAATATGCTTTTCATAATAGGAGGTGGTCATGTGGTACTAACCTTGCTTTATGTGCTAAATATTTTACACTAAGATTGGATTGATACAAATCTTAAGTAAATTTCACCAGGTTGTTCTCCAGGAAGTACTATCAATAAGACAAAACAATAGCGAAATCACTGGATTCCAGCCTTGGTTGGCTCCACTGCTTAGTTAAGAACCCTCAGTGAGTCCCTCAATTTGTTTCCTGATTTACAAAGTTAGTACTTCTTCCTTCCCTGCTTCCCAATGTTGTTTCAGGAGCACAGAAAATAATTTCTGCACTAGCTGCACCCATACCAATGGCAGGTATTGCCATTTTTAATGGAAAACGAGTATCTACCTTTTCTTTGTAAGCATGGAAATTACTGTTTGGCATATCAGAAACAGCACCTTTTCCCCATCCCATCCTTTTGATTTCCCCTCATACTATACTAGTCTTTAATCACAGAGGCCTTTCAAAGATTTCAATTAAAGATAGTTAGGACCATATCAGTTCATAACCTCATTCTCGGGGGGAAAAAAGTGCAGTAAGCCAATAATCACAAGAAAATGTAGATTTGAAGTCACCAGTTAACCTGTCCTCAAAATATTAGAGTTGAGAATAAATCACTACCATCATAAAAATAATCTTCGTTTAAGTTTTTCTACAAAATCATTAAATATTTAAGACTTACCTGGATTCCTTTTAATGAGGAAACTCCCATGTAAAGGAAAACACCATAGAGAACAGGCATTGGAATAAACTGTAAGTGAAAGGACCATCATCAGAACCCATTGCTACTAAAACAATTTCTCAGCAATAAGTACACAAAAAAGCATGGTTGCTGAGTACCTACTGAGAACGAATTACATGACCATTCAGTAATGAGATCTAACTTTTCTATAAATAAGAGAAATGCTAGTAAACAATAACCTCCTTGAAAATTGTTTATCTTCTCCATGTTCCTTCCTAAAAGAGGGGGGAGCATGTTCAGTGGTTAAGAGACTGAATATTACAATCCGACTACTTGATGTAAAAACCCAGTTTGCCTCTTATTGAGCCTTAACCACTCTGTGCTTTCCTGTATCAGAATGCCATGAAAACTAAAGGGTTTCAAATACATAAGATAATCAAAAAAGCATGTGGTATATATAACTATCACTCCAACAGCATTAATCATTGTTATTTACTGTCACTACCCCTACAGTGATTATCACACAGTAGCATTTACTGAATATAATAATTGAACCCCACCCCCAAAAGAAAATTCTTATTTCTTTGGCAGTTAGGAGAATCCCAAACCATGCCTACCTAGTCCATGCCTAGGCATGATACGGGACACTACCAACAGACCTCATTCATTTCCCAAAACCACAATCATCACTCTCATCCAAGGGGGAGAGAGCTGTGAGGAAAAAGACCTAAGAGCTACAGAGGAGACTCTACTAACAACCTAGTATGTCCTTTCTAAGAAACCTGGAGAAAATCTAATCAATATACTCCAGAAATTTCAGGAAAATATTTTATCCATAAAGCAACATTACAATGCTAAGAAAAGTGAATAAACAGAATGAAAAAGAAAGCCCCTAAAAATTAAAGACATTGATGTATACACTGTACACATATAGCTATGTGGGAAATAGATAATCACCATACTGGGAATGAAAAGCAATTTTTAAATAGTTATTTTTAATTCATTTAAAAATAACAAACCCCTTACAAATTAATATAAAGGACATTTTTATGGAAAACTATAATTTCAAAAACATTAAGAGTATTTCTGTAAAATCTCTTTAGTGGGTGCTTAACAGAGACCACTAAGTTCTCATATCTGTATGTACATTCAATCTGTTGCAATATGTCACTCTGGCTGAAGCAGATGAAGAAAATTCAGCCTCATACAGTTACATGATTGGAAAGAGAAGGATCTGGCAATCCCTGACAAGGTGTCAGGAACTCCCAGAGATCCTTGAACTAGACTTTGGAAATCATGGTCTTTGATAAAGATATCCAGTCTAAAGGTAATAAAGTGAAAAATAAAATTATGAAAGTATATAAAAAACTGTAATGGTGGTAATTGCCAAAATAACTCAAAAGACAAAAAAGTAAAACGAGTTTACCTCTGGATAGTTAGTTCCTTTCAGAAAGTGAGGAAAAATAGCAAGACTACCTTTTCGTTTTAGAGCTTTCTTGATGTTCTACTTGACTTTTTCTGCCTAGATGTAGTTAATACTTTAAAATTTTTTAATTTTAAAAATTTAAAGGGCACCTTCATCAGTAGGGAATGGCATCCTCAAAGACCACATATTTCTCCTTCTGTCCCAAGCACTTCTAACAATACACTCACCACTGTGCAGTAATGTCCCATTTACCTATCTGTTTCACCAACTAGACTGGCAATTCTTAAAAGGAAACAATAATGCATCTGTTTATTATTGCTTCCCCAGGGCTCAGTAGAATAGTAAGTACTCAGCAAATATTGGGTGGATTAATAGGCTGTTAGAAAGTGCATGAAAAGAGGCCAAAGAATTCTAGTATTTATCAATTTTTTTTGTTACTATATAGCATATACACACGTTTATGTACTCTAAGCTTGTATCCTAATTTATAAATGGTATACAACTCTTTACTTAATTTTATTTACAACAAAAATAACTACAGCGACCAAGGGAAAAATGAAGCTGAGCTCTTCCAGGATAGATAGAAAATTTCAGATTAGGTATTTAGCTGTGTTTGCTATGGTTATCGTTAACTTTTTAAATCAACAAGATTCAATAGATGTGTATGGCAAAAAGCAGATGTGACTAAAGATGTTAGACATAAAGTATAAGTTCTTACATAATTCATTTATATTATTAGCTGTTCATATTTTTCTACTAAGTGCTTGCTACTACTACTTTGGTTTCATTTAGTTCTTTAGGAAAATGTATTAATTTAATTAAAGCAATATTATTTTTATATTTTGGTCAGATAACTCAGTTTCATCCATTTTTAATATTTCTTTTTCTACTTATGCTTTTAACACCCTCTGACTGTATTCTTCTTTTAAATCTTAACTAAGTCATGGATTAATTCCTTCCAAAACTCTGTAGTCTTTCATTTTAATTCTATCCTTTTAAAATTATTTTTTAAATGGGTACATCTAATATTGAAATGCCTGCTATACTAAACACCATGCCAAAATATTACTTTCCAGGTAAAGTCTAAGAAATAAAACTAATTTTAGATACTTTAATGTTTCAATTTCATACAACCAGGTGTAAATTTTACGATAAAGATTTTAAAACATTTGCCATAAAGTACCTTTAGTACTGACGTCATAAACACAGACAGGCCCATTAGAATGAAAATCACTAGCCCCGTGACCCGCTGTTCACGAATTCCCAAAAACTTGGGTTGTTCCCCTGGAGCAGAACATTCAGATTCAAGTTTTAAGCTGTTGACGTGACTTATCGACAACACTGTTGCAGCCACAAACCATGGAAGTCCCATGACAGAGCACACTCCCAACATAACTCCGACCACGAACAAGTCAAGGTGATAGCCAGCTCCTTTCTGGAAAGTGAAATGGACACGAACATCTATAAGTCTACATTTTTCTTTCAGGTTAAAATTCTATACCACTCATAAAAAGAATAAATTCATTTTCACTTTACATCTTTTCAAGTTCTAGTCATTACAAAAACACCCCAAAGTCTTCAAGAAATTACAATACTTTGAGACAAAATTTAACGTTACCTTCAATTTGTGCTCTTTTCTGTTTATGATTACAGCTGTAATTTGTTGATCCATAAAGATGAGAATGGTGCACAGCAGAGCCGGAACAGCAGCTATTAATAAGGTCCACCAAGGATTTTCTCCCAGTGGGTTTATAATCCAGCCCCTATTTGGATCAGTAGGCTGTTAAAAATAAATAAATAAATTTAAAAAGAAAAAAGTTTCCTTCTTCTACTGCACAAAATTCCCACAGCATAGACTGTGTCTATTCCAAGAAAAGCCCAAGGGATCAGAAAGAACTAGATTAAATCTTGGTATGTACGGTGAATTATTTGCAAAGACAGCCACAAGGATTTTTCCCATCCCTAGACTCGGGCCCCCTCGTCCGACTCTTTCCATGCAGAGGTGGAGTCTATTTCCTCCCCTTGAATCTGGGCCGATCTTATGGTTTTCTTTAACCAACAGAATAAGGCCAGCATGACATTGTGTGGTGTCTTGGGTCTTGGTCTGAAAGGACCTTTGCAGCTTCTTTTCTAATCCTCTCGGATCCCTGAGATTAAGCTGCTGAGTGCGCCTGGGATAAGCTTTCTTCAGGATGCGACACGATGTAGTGAGAGAGGGACAGGAGGCGACCAGGCCAGCTGTTTCAGCCATCTGAAGTCCCAGGCAGGGGGAGGTCACTCTGCCCCTCATCAAGGCAACAGATTTCTGTGGCCATACAAAATATCACTAATAAGAGACCAGACCACTACCCAGCTACCTAATCCCAGGAGCACAGATTTATGAACAAATAAAGGGCGATTGCTTAAAGGCATTATGTTTTGGGAGATTTGCGATACAGGAACAGATGTGTGAAGGGGTGTCATTTCAACATGCTCCTACCTATCTCATAAAATGTAAAATCAATCTACCTACTAGATCAACTCCTAAACTAAACTGCTTTAGAGATCCTGCAGACGAGTGATCTTGGCACAGTCAGTACTAAGAATTGGGCCTCAGGACACTACTTTTCAAAGCATCTACTGACAAAAATCTGGCACTTTACCAGATGCTAACAATTTCAACTCTATAACGTAAAATTTGTTTTATAGCAAAAAAATTTAAATGATCGTAAGAGAGTTTAATATTCTTGAAGGATGTTGGACATATTAAAATCTACACATTTTCATTACCTAGACTTCATAATAAGCCTGTTTTTTCTTCTTGAAAACATTTGTCAACACAAAAAGGAAATTTAATATTTTCTAATTCAGGTATTCAAATGTTCCCACACTGCTATTTATTAAACTGCTTCATATTCAATACTGTACATGTGTAAAATATTTTATCTATGTTTACATTCTTAAGAGTTCCTTAAACTGTTTCCCCAAGTGTATTTTATGCCCCTGGAAATCAGTCTGCTACTTGAAAGCTAGATCAATAAAAGAATAACAAGGATATATTTAGGAATCTGAATCAGGAAATGAGGCTATCACTACAGGAAAATACATCAGTATTTTGAAGCAATATTAATTTAGAGTTTCATTTATTCATAAGATTTGGTAAAAATAGAATGACTTTCATGTAGCCATCTCTTCCTGACCTAAAATCTTTAGTGGCTAAAAATCTATGCTTTTAAGCAAAGGTCTCCAAACTTTTTAAATTATACACTCTTAGCAGCAAACATATAAAAAGTTTTTATAAATAAAAGTGAGCATATATACCCAATGGCTCTACATTCATTTACCTGTTACGTTACTGATGTTTGGTTATCCATAGAGTAAAATTCATGTAGTAAATAGTATAAGGCTTAATTTTTCTTATTTTTAGATAAAGATATAAATTGAACTTCTAAATAATTTTGGTGGATCATTTTCTACCCAGGCACTCTACTTTGGAAATCGCTGGTTTTAAAAATAATGTTATTTCTTTTTATCCCAGTGAAAGATAAAACAGACTAAAATTATCTTCATTATATTCCTTATTCCTAATCACCTTTAAACCTTCTGCTTCTGAAAGAAGTCATCTAATCTGCTAAATGTAAATGTAAGCTGAAACACAAATACTTGACTCTAAGAATAAATTCCAGAAATTATTCAAAAGCTGCCACCTCTAACTAAGACGGGACAATATTTTTAGGTGCTATATTGTGTACAGTATATTGTACACAAAAGAACTAGCGTTTGCTAATGAAAACAAAGGGTTCATGGATGTCCACAATGAGTGTCCTTTTTCTTATGGGAGAACATTTGATTCTCTCCTGTCAGATACGCTATCCTTCTAGAAATTTAACAAGAATGTCCTTGCTACTCAAAAATTCAAGTTTGATTTAGTTCTTTAAAAGAGAATAAAGAATGTTTCTTTTGCCTGGAAAGAACATCATGAACTCCAGCTATGAGAACAGGGTCAAATTTTTTTAATGTCTCTCAACTCTTCACCATGGATATTTTCATTCATTCTCCAGAATGGACTAGCTTTGATACCTACTTGCTTATTTCCTAAACGGGTCCACTGGCAGCTTTGCATCTTGTCACTCTATTTACATATGTGGGAAATAAAATGTTTCCTTTCAAGGATCAGCTTTTCAGAGAGACTATGCACAGTTTAAAAATAACTACCTACACAGTGTAAAGTAGTTTGGTATGCCTAAGTAACAAATAGCCAAGTATTTTAATCCTTACCTCGAATTTTTCAGGAACGTGAAGTTTAGGAGAAGGAACTCCTACAAGGTAGTCAATTAGGACCATTATTACTATTGTGAGAAATATAGCAAAGTCACTGATTGTCGATCGCACCTATGTTAAAAGAATTATGTTAATATAAATACAGATATAGTATGTATCCTTTATAAATAATTCATATCTTTCAGATTAAAATATGCCACTGGAAAGTGTGAAGGAGGTTTAATTAGTGACAATGTGTCAGTGAAATACATTTATATGTAATATTTTTTTCCCAAATGACAGGAAAGACATTTCACAACTAACCTACCATCTCTCAAAGTACTGTTGTTTTCCTACTGCTAGCTCAGATGCATAATATACATTTTTACTATGAATAATTTCTTTTAAACTATTTGATAAAAAGTACTAACCCCCAAACAATATATTACCAGAACTCCAAAATTATACCCCAATTACCTTAGTAGGAAAATAGCGCTTGGTCTTGAATTGTTTGAGGAATGAGGACAAAAAAAATGTTGTGAAAAACAAGATAACACACCAAAAGAGCACATCTGGAATATAAGGCCCATGATGACCACAAGCTGATCCTACAAATTCACCGTGAAAGGTTTTACATTCCTGGGAAAAAGAGAAAAAATAGAAAAAGGAGGGATTGAAGGGGATTCTCAGATATCCAATAAAGTATTAATAAATTTCACAGACTCTAAGATGCTACTGATTGTAAGATACACCATCAATTTTATCTATCATTCAGAAAGGAAAAAAACACTTTCAACTCAACTTTAACTAACACACCATCAACTGTTAAGACACATTCTGAGTTCAGAGATGTTATGGTTTGACATTCAGGACATTAGCAGAACATTCGTGGTCTTCTAACTAAGTTGTTCATAGAGCAGATGAACCAAAAATCAGAAGGCAGGAGAAGTGGATATGAGCTATTGTAACTGTCAACTCTATGTGTAACCACAGTGTATACTTTCTTTGAATTTATGAATCTAAGTGGAATTAGAAAAAAAGTATATTAACATATTTTTAAATAATTATATTTTGGAAGTCAAATATATTCTGTCTTTTCTTTCCTATACCAACTTCATTTGTTTCCGCCTATACTTTTTAGGGCATGATACATAAAAATGTGGTAACTCCTACTTGGTCAACCTAACACTATGTTTTGAAAACATACTATATATACATCAATCAAGAAGAAAATGTAGGACTACTCAGAAAAAGCTAAAGAACTAGGTTAATAGTTGCAAAATCCTTTAGTTTATAATATACTCACAGAGACAGTGAGATTGCCCCAGGAAATATCATGTGCCGTTATATTTTTTTCCGTCCACACCTTCAGAGTTTCGTTGCTAGGGTTAGGAGGTTCCATACATACACATCTGAGAAATTAGAATAGGGTGAAATTTTTAGGATCCTGTATTTCATGTTTACATTTTATTAAATTGATCCCACAAAGTGGTAGCTTTTGACTTCCTAATTTTTCCATGTTGCAAAGCATGAATAAGAGGAAAATGAAAACACATCAGAAACAATAGAATGGAATGAGGTTTGGCTTACATAAATAAAGCATAACTAGTACAAATAACAGTGAGCTGTTACTTAATGAAACTAGTTAGACCTATCTCTTTGGGAGGGGGTACTAATTTCTTTAAAAATCTGAGAAAATTTTTAGCAAGTTTACTCTCCACTAAATCTCATGTACTTAATCCCCCCACACACATCACGCATAGATTCCCAATAAAAATTATACTCCCATTAATTCCTTGTACTCTGGCAAGCCCTACCTACTCCTCTTTTATTGATCTTAAGGCTCATTCTTAAAGAAAGTAACACAGTTTTCCATCAGGACAAGCTTAGAACAGTCATTAGAAGATCATAGTTTTAGTTCATATCCAGAACTAACTCACCCACCTAAAAGAAATGGTAGAAAACACACACACACACACACACACACACAAGCAAAGAAATCACTAGTGTGAATTTAAAACTTGAAAACAAACAGGAATAGTATTCCCAATTAAATTATGAGCTCTTTGAGGAGAGGCAAGAGGCTGGAGTTTGGATTCAATCCAGGCTCTCTTATTTACTAGCTGTTTGACCCAAGACAAATTTTAATCTCCAAGAGCCTCAGTTTCTACATACATATGAATAGTTAAGGAACACTATGACACAAATTATGCAACATTCGTAGCACGCGCCCACAGAATGTTAGCTGAACAAATGATGTTCAGGTAATTAGTCAACCAGAAGGAAGCATCACTCTAAAAACCATGCTTCAAAGAGGTCAAAGGAGCAGCAAAAGAAACGAAAAAAATAACATTAAAAAAATTAAATAGTTTAAGAGCAAAGAAGATAGCACAAAATAGATTCAGCATCAAAGTGTCACCTAATATTTTCAAACAGGTCAATGTCTTAAAACAAACATGTCAAACTCGCGGCCCACAAAGAATATTTTTTGCGGCCCAGCCAATATAACAGCATGTGAGAAACGTTTTAATAAAAATTTTGTAACTTAATTTTTATAATATCCTGTTATACATAATTATTAATAACGAACTACAACGTTCGCTAATGACTACTATAATCGTGTTGCATTCATTTCCCTTATGCGCATTATACGCAGGTGCACCATTCTCTCCACTAATACTAGCAGCGAATATTTTAGCAGCCGATTGCCGCGTCATTAGTCTTGGACTGACTTGTTTGGTGTGCGCAACAGGAAATACTTCGTTTTCGGAGAACAAGAAAAATAGATTTATTTGCGTTACGCTTATTAATTTGTGCAGTTATTCAATGTCTGATAAGTTAATGTTCAAGAAAAAATATTGTTATGAAAATGTTCTATTATTTTATGTTAACGATTACTCATTTATTTCAGCCCTTTGTATTCAGCATATCTCTATTGAAATAAACCTACATTTCTATGAAAATTGAAGCTTTTGGTTTTTTGCGGCCCACATAAACTTAAACCTTGTTTATTTGGCCCGAGTTAGCCTTTGAGCTTGACATGCTTGTCTTAAAGGAATTTTCATAGCCCTCCCTACTCTGACCATCAAAGTTGAGAGCTTGCACGGCAGGCAAGGGAAGGAGTATGGAGGAGACATATAGAAGGCATCAGAAGAGTACAGGGATTTGGGCCTTAGGAAGGTAGGAAGGAAGTTGTGTTCTTGTTGTTTGTTGATAACCACATTTCTCCATGTAAGTCCATCAAATGCAGAATCACATTTACAGAATAAAAATAAGTGAATCTGTTCAACTGGATTTATGTCCTCTGAGTGCTTTGGTAAAATCTCATCTGTAACAAACAAGTCAACCTTCACATGGCTAGTTGGGTAATTTCAGCTCGATACAGTGAGCATCACATCGCAAAAAAAGTCCATTCTTAGGCTCAGACATCTCTGCAAAAAAATACATTTTAATACTAGAGGGAATCAGAGACACTTACGAGTAGCTGGTCAGTTCATCTAAATTGTTGTGCATATTAAATTCATATATTTCTCCTAAATGAAAGAGCTTCTCCAAAGCCTCGTAGATGAATATGATGCAAATGAGAGCTGCAAAAGCCTCCTCTGTAAATCGAGTAATATAACACACAAGGCTGCTTGCATCTGTGGCAACCAAAACAATGCACAAGAAAGAAGTCCACAGACCAATACTGGTTCTTAAAGACAAATAGGAAAGCTGGTAATCTCTGTTTAAAAAGAAAAACGTGAACACAATCAACACATACTAATGGAACAGTATTTATACTTAAAATTGTCATCACAAGCAATAAGAACAGTAAAACAACATAAGAGTCATAAACCATAGAACAACGAAATAATGACTAAAGGAAGCTGTGTGTGTTTTTCTGCTTCAAAGGAAGACTAGCTTTTTATTAACATACTTAATGGTTATATTTTACTTACACAAAAGATTTATAGTGAAAATCTGCTAGGCAATAAACATTTCAAAAAAACAAAGACCTCACTTCGGAAGTCAGTTATGAGGAGTCAACGACAGACAAGCTGTCTGTAGAACAACGGAAAGTGACTCTCTCAGAAGACCCGGGTGCTTTCGTGTCAACATGGTGATCACACTGCTGCCCCACCATCACCGCCACCATCTCCTCTACCACCAGTATCTACAGAAAAAGTAGATACTTCAATTTCTAATTCAATTTTATTGAGAAATTACTACAGGTAATTGCATCCTCTATTAGTCTATCTCATGTGCCAGATCAGGATCAGAATCAGTTTGTTCAGTGGGGAAAGAATCAGAGTAAGAGGAGTTAGAGGATCAAATATTTAATAGCATCAGGTTGCTCCAGGCTAAAATATTCAGTTGCATTTATCTCACAAAAGGAACAAGACTGGCAATATCGAATTCCAAGTCTACCAGACACAGTACCGGCCATGGTTCGCACACTGGCAGCCCTGCCAGTGGAAACGGGCATCTCCCTCAACTCTGCCAATTCCCTCTGTGGAATAGGCCCAAGGGATAAAGTCAGCTTGAGCCCTCAAGATCCACCTTCCTAAACTTCTTTTATAAGTCCAATATACCATCTAATAAGCAATTCAGACTAACATGTTCTTACTGAGTTGAAATTTTCTAGCACAAAGAATTTTTGTTGCCCTTTAAGTGATTTGCTTATCAGTACTCAAATCCACTGATTTTCTACTCAAAGTGACTGGGGTAGAGATGATGACAGGGGCCAGAGCAGGGTCAACCACACAGTAACACAAAAATATTAAAATAGACATATTGATCAGATCTTCTTTTTCAGCTATATTAAATATATAATGTACTTTCACCTAAAGTTAAAAACAATATAATATACGATTATACACATACGCAAACACATGTGACAAATAGGTAATTATTACGTACCTGCAGAATTTAAATAAAATTTTTTCAAACACTAAAACTGGACCTGTACTCCCCAATATTGTTAGAGGTTGCCCAGCAAACAACGAATAGGCAATCCCAGTTAATGATGCTCCAAAAAGAGACTCTATTGCACTCTGTTTAAGGAAAAAAGAAACGAATAAAAGCAACAATCATAAATATATCTCTAACATACGATAATACATATAAGACATCTAGAAAATAAAAAATATGAATCAAATAAAAATATAAAGCAAACACAACTTTGAATTTCAAATTTGTATTTTAAGTACAGAAAATGAAAAATACATTTTAAATACAAAGGGAAAATTGCTTTGGTTTTGCATATTAAAAGTGAACATTTGTGATCAACCTTAATTCAAAACTGTGAGAGTCAAGGAGGGAGGAATAAATGGAAGACATTTCTCAGTTCTATCTACAGATGTCTTATTCTTAAGCCTGTGGTGAATACAAAGATATATATATATATTATTTTGAATATTTTTGTATGTCTGAAATAGTTCATTTTAAAAATAGAAAACATTAAATACTCAATATCCTGTTAGGAAAAAGACTCCTTCAAACAGATAAGAAATTAACATGTGATACTATTGTTCTCCCATTGACTTCTAAAGATCAATTTTCACACATTTTAAAGAAATTAATCTAATATGACAGGTTTAAACAACAGATATCAAAAATGAAATGCTTAACATAAATAAAACAGATGGGAAAATCTCTTTATAAAACTGACAGCAATCATAAGTGAGAAAGTATCTTACTATTATTAAAGTTTGGTAACAGAAGATAAAATGAGAACATGAAAAGACTCAGAGAAATTTTATATCAAAACTAGTAGCCAATTTTAGACCACTACCAACATTACATTCTACCTTTACGTTATTTAAGTAGTAAGGGAGTTAGGCTAGGCCACTAGACAAACGGAAGGGATCAGAAGGAAAAGGATAGTTTACCATTCACAAAGATCAAGATGGACTGGAGTGCACTATCAAGAAAGGAAAAGCCCATCATTGGTAAGTAAAGACAAGGAAAAGAAGCTTGTGAGAAACAACCCCCTGGGAACTGGAGACAGCATGACATCAGGCCAAGAGCAGGGCTTGAGAACCAGATTTGAAGCATTAAGACTGGTTCCTACTAGGTGTTAAGCCACGGACGCACCTAAAACTTTTTGAGCCCAACTTCTCTCATTTTTGAATGGGGGGTGATTTTAGCCAGGAGAACTTTGGGAAACACCTAGCAAGCCTAGCATCTAGCATTGCAGAATGTACTTAACAAATGGTAGCAATTCTCATTGCTAGCAGTAAACAGCACCTTCCAAAATTAAAATCACAAAGTAATAATATGCGGTACAAGTATTATTTAACTCAGTAGAAAAACAAACTTGACTTTTGGCAAAATTTAAAAGTGTTCAGATTAAGAATCTAGTTGTTAATTGTATAAAATGAATTTTTCTTGCCGTAGATGCAGTTTGTCCTAGAAGACACTGCTAAGCCATTATAAAATCCTTAGTTAAAATAGAATATGCCTATTTACGTATTAAATGGTATCTAGAAATAGAAAAAAAAATTTGAGAAGAAAAGTAAAGAGATGGCAAATAAAGAAATGCTAACAGGGACAGATAGGCACAAAATTACAGTGTCCTTCCCAACATGGTATTGAAAAAGCAAAGCGCAACATGAAGACCTTCCTTTCACCACGCCCAACCCCTTATTGCCACATTTACTAGGTCCTTTACCCCGATCTATTTTTAAAACTATTTCTATGCTCATGCCCAAACTGAACCAGGTCTTGCCCTAAAGAAGCCACAGCCCTGCTACCTGCCATCCCCACCCCGCATTCAGAAGTTTCCGTTTTACCCACCCATAGCCCTACCCTTCTCTTCCCCACACAACTCCCCACTGCCGTGACACTAAACACTCCCTTCTAGTCTGTCCTCTTCAAAAACCTGTTTTGGTTTTTGTAAAATTACTTCATCCTGAGCTCTTGACTGCGCCTGTATCTGATATGCTGGGCCATTTTCCTCCTGTTCTCATCCCTCCTCATTCTCACCTGCTCTCCCTGTAAATTACCTCCATCTATTCTCAGTTTCCAGCCCCCACTTGTCTCAACTGCTCCCAATC